AAGATCAATTTTTTTCTAAATTCATATGAAATATGTTGTGTTTATGTGCTACACAATTAAAATTTTGATTGCAAACTGACCTTGGACGCGAAAATTCAGCCAGCTGTTACAGGCAGGGAAGACAGTTGCTTATGACTTTTCTCACCATGGTCACGCGTTGGTCACGCTCTCGTCCAATTTTTATGCTCTGATTGGTCAAAATTTGACAGGTGAGTTCATGCAGAAAATTTATGCAGCATCTTGAATCTTGTTTACTTTGACAGCTGAAGCTGACAGAGTTTTGTGTCAACTTGTGATGTTTTTAACTGTCTTTTTCCACTGGATGTGCAAAATGAAATTCAGCTGCTATCAGGAGTCTTTTGTTATTCATGGCTAGTTTGTTTATTGGGTTTTTGGTTGAGGAATACGTCGCTTGTCAAAGTCGGAAATCCGATTTCGGATGGCATCGTTTTGGTTTTCACCTTGCTTGATGCGTAAGAGGATTGCAAAGTCTGAAGTGATACTGGCTTTTCTTGATACCTTTCAGGAGCTGCATCTCGAATGGTAAGCCAGAGAAATTATTGTATTTGATGTTTTTTTTTGTATCTAATTTAATGAATTCAGGCAGAGTTTACGCGGGCATTTAGTTTATGCACGTTTGTAAGATTTGTGACAATGATCTGACCGAGTATCAGGTTTGATATAAGCTTACAGAACTTTAAAAAGCCTTTAGACAGTTTCTCACCGCAAATAGAAAGAAAACGTTCCAAAGAATATTTAGTTATAATTCTGGCCGGAAAAGAAAGCTTTGAGCGATTTTCTTGCCTCGAGTTCGTCTTTGAAAAAAGCAACGACCGGGAAGCCGGCTTAAAACATAAACTTAAGCTTGAAGCTTGAAGACTCAGGGTTTTTAGGGACACTTTAATACTTGTATTCATGAATGAAAATTGTTGTCTCTGTATATGTTTCACCGAATTATATTTCTTTTATTGATTGTTAGTAGTCTCTCTTGTAATTTTATTCGCTGTGCCGATTGCTTTCAGTCGTTCAGTGAACATCGTTTGCAGGAGTACTCAAAATGCCGCGCGTTAAACCATTAAATAAAAAATAAACATAATAAATTCTTTATAATGTTGGAGCGTAACTCTGTTAATGTTCATTCAAACACTCGCCACAGCTCGCACTGCAAAAGTGAGAACCGGATGGCCGTATAGGTGATTTTGGAAATTTTTTTAACAGTTTATGAATGCCGGTACTGGGATAAAAACAGTTGGTTTACACGCACCCAGATTTGTTGACAAGATTTTGCAAAGTAAACTTGTCGAACGCAAAAAAATTGGCCTGATTTTTTTTCCACTAATTAATCTACGGTGATCAAGAGCCATTATGGCTCTTAAATGTGATCGAAGATGAATTACCAGTTTTTGAGTGTACATATGAGGCTATCAACTCGATGTAAGATTTGGTTCACTCTTGGGCTGTTTGCAAATTATTTTTCTCAAAAATCTGGTAGCCTTTCCCTCAAAAGTGACATAAATGTGCTCTAAAGTTAACTGAATTGTGGAATTCGAATACAAGTTTATTGTTTAATTTAAATTATAAATTTATTAATGGGAGCCTCGCTTTTAGCCCTGGCTAAATCTATATATTATCCTGTCCACAAAATACAGCATGGTTGGGTGTTACACCTTCGTAGGCCCAACCTTATTAATTGAAAGTGAGAACTTCTCGATCGCTTTCTTCCAGGAGCTAAACATAAACGTCCAAACAAATGTTTTGTGGCCTTCCAGGATGACAAAATCTTAATCACGGTTGAAATCATCAATGTGTATGTCCCGAAGACTGAGTTTTTCCTCTTCTTCTTCTCCCTGGTTTGAAAAAATTTCATTACTCCATCCTTGCTATCTTCTTCCGTGTTCATATCAAAGCCTTCGACATCCGAAATATGCCACGATCGGGTATCTCGAAGTTTCCATTGTTTATTGTTTATTGTTTTGTTTACCATAAGTTGTACAAAGCAAAAAAAATCTAATTATTTAAACTCTCATGGCGAGGAAGCCCAAGAGAAGCCACCGGGCTTATAAGGAATGGGCTCCCTCAGTTAGATAATTAGAACAAAATATTATCATAATCATGTACACATGGGAAAATCAATGGCAGAGCTACAGTAAATCTTAAAATGAATATATTAGATAGTCGTACTAATCAGAGTTCTAGGCTAAAAAAAGCGAAATGACAAAAAGAAAAAAAAAACAATAAAAAAATCGTTCAAATTATAACGTGTCCTATGCTCAGACATGTTGCAGAACTAAAATTAAGCTTACTGTTGCTGTAACAAATCGAAAATGTCGCAGAAACTGGTTCAAGACAACTCAAAATGGCGAACAAAATAATCCACTAGGCGTTGCAAAGAAGGGGGGTCTGGAAACTAAGTTTGCGGAAACTGCTGGTCAAATGACTGTGGGCCATATCAGATCGTACAAATTTGAACGAGTACGATTCGGTCTTAAAGGGTTAGAGGAAACAAAGAGTACCTTGTAGTAAAAATTACTATCAGGTTTAGTGAAGTATAAATGTCAAGGCTGATTTGCACGTAACAGTTCGTCCGGGCCTGATAAGAAAATTTAAGCTCGCGGCGAACATAAAAGTCAGCCTGATTTTTCATTTCCAATAAATTTTTAGAGTAGGCGGCGTGGCCGAGTGGTTGGAGCGCTGGACTTGCAATTCGGAGGCTCCGAGTTCAAGTCCCTCCCGGACCGCTAGCTCCATTTGTTGTCGGTAGTTCCGGGTTGAAATCCTTCAGTCCACGCTTGTTAAGTAGTGATCTGGTTCGCCTCCTACCAGTTGAGATTCTTAACCATGAATTTTTATTATTATTATTATTATTATTATTATTATTATTATTACTATTATTATTATTATTATTATTATTATTATTATATTGTTGTTGTTGTTGTTATTTTAAGTCTTCACCAACCTAGTCCCTAGGCGTTCTCAGCTCGGTTAATCCTGGACTCTACCGTGAGCTGTGACGTCACCGAGAGATACACGCCCGCTCTTTCCCAGACTTCGCGCGGACAACGGGGCAAGAGAGAACGCCTAGGGACTAGGCTGAGTAAAAGTAGAGGCTAACTAATAACTTCGCAGTGGGGTTTGGTTTCAAGCACATAGGCTAATTCTCTGCAAGACAGTGAGCTTGTGTTTATAACACAATAATAACCTTCTGACAAATTAGACAAGACAAGACAAGACAAGAACATTTAGTACCGTAATATTGCCTGTACAATTTCTTGGCACGCAGTTAGCCAAAAACGCTAGTCGTGGCTTGCCAAATTAATTCCTTTACAAATCAGATATTACAGATAATAAGTAAAAAGCAAAGAAAAAGAAAAGAAGACTATGTGTAATAAAGTCAAGAGCAAGATAGACAAATCTGTTCAATGCAAGCTGTGAAAGAAGCTAAGGTTTAGGATTTCGCGATTGATCTTTTCATGTATTTACTAGTTAATGATAATTGATAATTACATTTTTTCATTTTTAGAAACCAAACCTGATCCGGGGGATTCACGTAAACCAGTAGAAAACGAACATCTAGGCCCTGGAGGTATTTCTATTTTCCTTTAACTCGGTAAATTATAAAATTAACCAACCTCGTCCCCAGGGCGCTTTTCCCTGGCTTTGGAGGTGGGGCGGAAAAAGGCCCTGGCATCGTCAATCCATCATTTTGATTGATTGATTGATTTAGGTAGTTCATCTAAAAAAGTAATTTATGCATTATACCGAAATCGAAATGGCGGAAAGTATGTCCACTTCAACGAAGATTTCTGCAAGGAACCCAGTTTGCAGGCTATGTGGTGGTTCTCATGAGAGTCGCTATATGCTTCAAATATTCAGCAAGGCAGGCTTATCTAAAGATCTTTATTCAAAATGGTGTCATCTTTGGCCTGCTCACATAATTAGATCGTGCCACACGTCAACTGAAAGGTGTGGACAACTCATTTCCGACGCCCTTTCTTTCTTCTTTTGTATTGCTGTAGCCATACACATCGCACTTTTGAACCATTCTCACACGAAAACAACAAGGGGAAATGATTGAGAAATTTACTTGTTTCCATGAGATATCTAAAAAATAATTACCTTGTGCATTGTAAAGGCAAATAATTTGACAGGGCAGTGATACAGCATTCCCTACTGTTAACTGATAAAATATAAAATGTAGGTGCCAGTCGACCTAGAAAGGTACAGAAAGTAATGCAACAAAGCTCAACAAAGTGCTACGGAAAAAAAGGAACAGGTTTAGACAGCCTACACATGTAAACGTTTTTATTATTGATTAATTTAAAAGTTCAAGTTAGCGTACATTAGAACCCGGGCTTTGAACAAATAGCCACAAGTTACTTATTTCCAGGAAGCTGAAATATTTATTCATTTGGTGATTCTGGAAATTAAACATGTAGTGATTATATATAGTAAATGTATGTTTTATCTCTCTTTTTTTCGATGAGGATAACGCTGATCATACCCTTGGCTAGACTACTAGTATTCTCCCATTTTTCCTCAGGCGAGAAAAGGCGACACGCCTTTTCTCGCGTGGGGTGATTTCAAGCGCGCTCGCGTTTCGCTCGCTCTACTATCCCTGAGCAAAAATGCGGGACTACTCGTAGTCTAACCCTTGTTCGAAAAATGGACTGCGTGACCGTCACGCTGTGAAAGTGAACTTTATTCCTTTGATCTAGTTGCTTAGTGATAAGCTGTAATGACGTGATGCAAGTTTAGGATTTCAAAGCCATATGCGAATCAAGGACATCTGGCAATTGTAATCATCCTTATAGCGTGAACATTAAATTGTGAAGTGATTCGAGTCTGTTGGTTGTTTTAACGTGAATATTAGCGGGAAAATCTCTTGTGTTAGAAGCAATCGGAAGATTCCTGACACAAACTGGCACCTCCGACGGGACCGTGAGCGAAACGAACCAAAGCAAGGGAAACAGACCTGAAGCTAGAACAATAACGAGACAACAATGGAGGCGTTGACCTCGGAGCTGGACGTGCAACTTAAACTTCTCATGTTTACTCAAGGGAAAACTAAGGGAATCGTGGAGAAAGCAAACACCGAAGGAATCGAACGACACCGTGATGCTCTTCGAGCGATTGTGAAGAGGATCGAAAGCGTAAAAACGCAGATCGAGCAAGCGAAATTGGAAAGTGGCGTTCAAGTTGACGAGCTACTTAAATGGAGCGCTGGAGTTGAGGCACAACAAGCAACGGTTGACGAGGAAATCACGTATTTATCGCAAGCACTCGTTGAAATCAAGTATAAAGCAAGTTTGGAAGCGAAGAAATGCGAAGAAGAGCTGATCGAGGGAGATCGAGACAAACAACTACAGTTTGAGCGCGCACATCTAGAACAGAAGCTAGAATAGAAGAAGCGAGGAAAAGTAACATGGGTCAAGTTGCGGCGTCGCCCGCTCTAGTGAAAAGCGCTAAATTGCCAAAGCTGGTCATCACTAAGATTAGGGGAGAGTTAGCGGAGTGGCCAAGTTTTTGGAAACAGTTCGAAGCTGAAATCGATCGTTCAGAAGTGGCAGCCGTAACAAAGTTCTCGTACCTCAAGGAGCTTGTGGATCCCAAGGTTAAAACCGCCATCGTTGGCTTGCCCTCCACGACAGAAGGATACCAGCGGGCTAAAGACATCCTAACGGCTAAATATGGTCAGATGAGCGAGATTTTAAACGCGTACGTGCAGAATTTGATGGCGCTTCCAATGATTACTGGCTCACATTCAAGAAAGATCCATGAGTTCTTCGAAAAGTTATTTTTTAACGTGCAGTCTTTGGAGACACTCGGTAAATTGACAGAAATCAATGGATACGTGAAAATGTCTGTTGACAAGCTGCAAGGGATCAGGGGCGATCTGGTAAGGACAGACGACAACTGGAGGGAGTGGGGCTTTCCAAAATTCGTGGAAGCCCTAAGAAAGTGGTCAGAGAGAAATCCTATCCCTGGCGAACGTGAACCGCCCGAGAAGCCGCCTGACCGGAAAAAAGCCACCTTTCCCGCGAGACAAATCATTTCAAGTCCAGCAGAAGGACGAACGAGTGCGAGGGTGTGTTTATTGTGAGAAACCTGACCACAAATCAGTTGACTGCAAAACAGTCGCATCAGTCCATGAGCGCAAGCGAGTGCTAAGCAACAAACACCTCTGCTTCAATTGCACTGGGACCAGACATAAGGCTGTAGATTGCAGATGTCATGTATTATCTCAAGTCTGTCAGAAAAAGCACCACACCTCCATCTGTGATAGGCTTGGTGAGCAACTGATGACCGCCAACTCAGCAGGAAAAACAGCGGTGATACATCGAGTGGTGGTTGTGAAGGTCCAAGGTGTGAAGTGTCGTGCGCTGTTGAACAAGGGGGTGGGCAGTTCCTACGCTTCAGCAGCACTCCTCAAACTCACGAAAGTTCGCCCTTATAAATAAATAAAATAAAATAAAATAAATAACGATTTGCAGGTAGCACATCCACATAGTGGTTCTTCGTCTACCTGATTCCTGGTCGAATTGGAATTTGGAAATGTTGGTTTTTGAGGAGAGGGGAAAACCGGAGCACCCGGAGAAAAACCTCTCGGAGCAAGGGAAAGAACTAACAACAAACTCAACCCACATATGGCGTCAACGGCGCGATTTGAACGCGGCCCACATTGGTGGGAGGCGAGTGCTCTTACCACTGCGCCATCCTTGCTCCCCAACGCAAGGTACGCCACATCGAGATGATGTTAGGAGCAGTTACCAAGCAAGTCGAAATATTTCAAGTGCAAGTCAGTTCAACCTCTGGGGACTTTTGTTTAGACACAGAAGTAACTAAAGTGGATAAGAATCAACTAATCTCTTTGGAAAACCCTCGCTACGAGCAGCGCTTGGCCAAGTATGTCCACCTAAAAGGAATTGAAATGGAAGAAAAGGACTCTAAGGATATCATGCCAGTACATCTCATCCTGGGAGCCAGTGATTATGCGAAAATCAAGACCGAAACTGCACCCCGTGTTGGAGCCCTTGGTGAGCCTATAGGAGAGAAGACCAAGCTCGGTTGGACCATAATGTCTCCTGGGAAGTAAGTGGATTTAACTCCAATGTTCTGCACACAGACCTCACACGTAGACTAAGACAACTTATGCAAATTAGATGTACTGGGCCTGGCTGATACGTCCACTGGCGACCAAGCTGAAGTTTATGCAGAGTTCAAAGAGCAGTTGACACAGGATGCAGAAGGATGGTACGAGACGGGGCGATGATCAAGTCATCCAGGATCAGATCGAGGCTGAAATAGTTGAAAGAGTCTCAGGACCTGTGACTGGGAGTCGGGAGTTCTACATCCCACACAAGCCAGTAGTGCGTGAATCAGCAGAAACCACTAAGCTTCGTGTCGTTTACGATGCATCTGCTCGTGCACACTCTGGAGCACCCTCGTTGAATGAATGTTTAAATCCTGGGCCTCCTCTTCAGAACCGGTTGTGGAGCGTTTTGGTTCGTGCTCGTTTCCACTCTGTTGTAATTGCAGGAGACATCAAACAGGCCTTTCTCCAAGTCAGAATCCGAGAAGACGAACGTGATGCGCTAAGGTTCCATTGGTTAAAGGTCAAATGAACCAAAATTTCGACCTTTTTTTTAGTTCAATTCTAATGAAATGTGTTTAATATGAAACAAATAAACATACTGTGAAGTTTGAGCTCAATTGAAGTAAGTATCTCCGAGATATTCGCAATTAAAAATTGCTATTTTTTTGGCCCTTATCTTCGTAGAGCGGTCGAAAAATTGTCGGGAAAAACAGCTTGTGACGTCAGTGTTGGTCAGGTGAAAAAAAGCGGGAAATTCAAAACAGAGTTTTTCGAGTCGACTGGCCGCAGAAGTGGTTTGTGCGGCCATAAACCTGGAAAGAACAGGCAATTTGTCTTCAAAATCGATCAAAAGTTGCAAGCTGAGGTTATAACCTTCTTATTATTTATCAGTTGCAAGCTTCCCAGCCAAGCCATGATTCCGACTACAACTTAGCTAGATTAGCTACTTTTAATACCTGGTCCATGCGAGGGTCTTCATTCAAGCAAATTAAAGTCAGCAAACTGAATCATTAGAAAATACAGAAAACTGCACATAAGGATTTGTTTTGCTCGCTTCAGTCAAATCCAGCTCCAGCAATTGTTTACGGGCGAAGAGTCGATTGTTTTGGAGTCACTGCCGGCACTGTTGTCGTTCTCCGCTACTCCACAGCGAGTGAAAGGAAAATTTGCGCACAGAAAGATAACAAAACTATGTAATTAAAACTGAAAAAACTAAAGAAAAAAAACTCTGACTATTATTACTTGAGCAACAGAAAAATGATCGAAGTAGTCTTTTCTTCTCGAGTAAGCTTGCTGGCTTTCTAAAGTTCCGAGAAAGTTTTTAAAACTTAAAAGCTTAAAGGTTGTTCACTCGCATGCGTTAGCCGTTACGGTTCTTTGACTGAAGACAAGGATAAAGCTGGTTCTGCAAAGGTAAATAAATCTGGGCATGTAAAAAAAGTAACCATAACTACTAATAACAGAATACAAGCAGGTTTTAATTCAACCCGGCGAAAGAAGGCGAAGCACAAGACACAAAATCAACTCACAAATCGAATACACAATTATCAGAAAAATACAAACCTGTTTGGAAATGTTCAAAACGTTTTATTCCACCTCAGACTGACGGAATGATCTGCTTTTACTCTAACACTGGTTGTTCTGAATCCAAAGTAATTTTCAAGTGACGAAAAAACAACAACAACATAAACAAAAAAAAAGCCTTTACAAGGAGCAAACGTTCGCACCTCGTTTATTTCATTCAGTCTCAGTCAGAACTCTCACAGAACGAGACAAACAAACGCAGGAGATAAGGGATGCGCAGAAGATTGCGCAGAACGTTTTTCCGCGCTGAAAGACCAACATTGACGTCATAATCTCCAGTCTATCTCGCTGCCATTTCAGAAACGTTTTCGTGAAGTCTTCGGAAATGCTCGGATTTTGCTCTTTTATTTTTCTATAAAGGCTTGGGAAGAAAAATCTTTACCCAAATCTCACTTAGGATGGTTCTTTTTAGTGTTTGGTGAAGGTAAAGCGACAAAAGAAAATACGTCAATTTTTTGGTTCATTTGACCTTTAAAAGATCTGAACAGCCAGACGGTAGAGGTACTAAGATTCACCAGAGCCCTCTTTGGCTTCACCTGCTCACCATTTCTCCTTGGGGGAGTAGTACAACATCTCCTGGAAAGCTGTAGAGAGAAGTACCCGGAGATTGTGCGTGAAATTGACAAGAGCCTTTATGTCGATGATCTTATCAGTGGAGGGCCCACTCAGGCAAAGGCAGGAACAATCAAGTCAGCATCTGTAGAGATATTTGCCTGGACATTTGAGTTGCACAAGTGGCACTCAAACGTGAAGGAGTTGGAGAAAGCGTGTTCAGTAACAGTCTCAGAAGAGGAAACATACGCGAAGGAGCAGTTCGGTACCTCAAGGAAGGAGGGATCTTCTGTACTCGGTCTGCAGTGGAACAAGGACTGTGACACCGTCAGCGTTAACTTCCCATCAGAGAGTACTGAGCCAGCAAAACGAGGGATTCTAGGTTAAGTGGCCAAGATATACGATCCACTGGGGCTAGTGTTACCTATCATACTGGGTGGCAAATTCCTCTACTGTGATATCTGTGATGCCAAACTAGCTTGGGACGCTAAACTACCAAGCAACTTGATACAAAGCTGGGTCCGCTGGGAGGAGAAACTTCCGAGCCCTGTTACTGTACCCCAGTCATTAGCGGCACATCAAGAAGACATCCAAGCAATAGAGTTGCACGCCTTCGGTGATGCTAGTGGAAAAGGTGTGGCCGCCGCAGTGTATACTGTAGTGGTGCAAGAGAAGGGTGTCAACCAAGTTCTAGTTGCTTCAAGGGCAAGATTAGCGAAGAAAGGATTGACTATACCTCGGTTAGAGTTGGTGTCTGGCCACATGGTGGTGAACGTCTTGTCAAATGTGAGTGAAGCTTTAGAAGGATTTCCTGTATCCGTGAAGCACTGCTGGCTCGATAGCACCGTTGCCCTGCATTGGATAAGACGCCCAGGAGAGTACAAATATTTTGTAACCAACAGCGTTCAGAAGATTCAAGCGCATTCTGTTGTAGTGTGGTATCACGTGAGAGCGTCAGACAACCCAGCTGATATTGGAAGCCGTAGCGGAGAAGTGACCAACCATGCCTTGTGGTGGAACGGACCAGAGTGGTTATCAAATAAAGCATCCTGGCCCCCTGACATAGTGACGAGTGCCACGCAGGAATCATTGGCAGAGGCTAAATCAAAACGAGACCTGTTTTCAGTAGCAGTGGCAGCAGCAGACGAGCTGGATGACCTCCTAGAGAAATCCAGCCGGTGGCGAACAATCCGAGTGACCGCATGGATACTCCGATTCATTCAGAATTCTCGTGCCAAGAAGACCAAGAGGCTGAGGGGACCGCTAACCGCGGACGAAACGAAGAAAGCGGAGCTCTTTTGGGGGAAGCGAGTGCAGGTACGAACCACAGCTGATGGGCGATACGAGGACGACCTGCTCCAGCTGAACCTGCAACCAAACTGTGATGGAGTTCTGGAATTTCGGGGCAGAGTTCAGGGCCACTACCCGATATGCCTACCCGATGGACAACGGTATACGGAGAGGCTGGTGGCACAGGCCCATCTTGCAACGCTGCACGGGGGAGTTGGGAGTACGATGGCGAAAGTGCGAGAGTACTACTGGGTGCCACGGCTGAGGAGATTAACCAAAAAGATTGTGAAGTCTTGCCATGGATGTCGGCGGTTCAGAGTGCAGGCCTATACCTCTCCACCCCCAGGGAATCTTCTAAGGGATCGGACAGAGGGCCAAACACCCTTCCAAGTGATTGGAGTGGACTTTGCAGGACTTTTGAGGTACCAGAAGAAACCAAAAACCGAGGGAAAGGCTTACATCCTACTGTATGCTTGCAGCCTTACAGGTGCCGTGCAGTGTGTGTAGACCTTGTGCCAAACCTTGAGACCACTGATTTCATCAGAAGCTTGATGTGCTTCATCGCCCGACGCGGAAGACCACGGCGAATCTACTCCGACAATGCTAAAACATTTGTGATGGATCGAGCAAGTGATGAAGGACGAGAAGATTTCTGGGTTCCTCACCCAGCAGGGGATTGAGTGGAAATTCAATCTGAGTCGTGCGCCCTGGTGGGGAGGCCAATTTGAAAGATTGATCGGGCTGGTTAAGGAAGAAGTGCTGCTAGACGTGGAAGTTGCCCTTAACAACAGGCCTCTAGATTATGTGGAGGATGACATCCAACTGCCTATCCTTACCCCAAGCTCTCTATTTTGCATACAACCGAACGTACTGCCAGAGTTGGGGCCGAAGCACATCCAAGACTATGACCTCCGCAAGCGTGCAAAGTACTTGAGCAAGTTTAAAGACGCAGTGTGGTCCAGCTGGACCAAAGAATACCTGACGGGGCTCCGCGAGAGACACCGCCTAAAGCAAAAGGGTGACAGTACCCATCCAGCGAAAGGAGACCAGTGGGAGCGGTGACCTACTTGATAACTGGGCGAGATGGTGTGGTCCGAGGAGCAAAGCTATGCACTCCCAAGTCAGTCATTGAGCGTCCAGCATTTATATCCACTTGAACTTACCTGTGACATGGCAGTGGGGACAGCACCAGCAGCTCTGAACCCTACTGTGCAAGGCTTTAGACCATGTAGAAATGCTGCAGTTGCTGCCGGAGCTCGTATCCAGGAACTTGCACAAATGGATGATGAAAACTAGACGGACTGTTTTTATCTTTCATTTACGGTGATTTTCATTTTAGCGTTGTTAACTGATCAGTTTAAGATGCCCTCTAAGACATTTGC